CAAAGTGCTGGGATTACAGGCTTGAGCCACCGCGCCCGGCCGGGAAGCATCTTTTCTCTCCTTGAACATCTTCTGGCCTCCCATAGCTCAGCCTGGCCCTCTCTCTCCCTGAGTGCCCTTCATGTCCACTGGCTTGCACACGTGATCCCAGAGTGCCCTCTGGGTGTGTATCACACGTGTTCATGCCACCTGCTCATATGGACCATGTTTCCACAATACCTGGGGTGCCGCTCACACACTCGGCCTCCAGTGGCCACAGCGACCTGGAGTGTTTGTTGCTCACGGCTGTGCTGGAGGCGGGAGAGAACAGCGGCCAGGGCGGCAGCACAGAGCTGGGCAGCCCGCGTGCACACAGCCGCACACACGCGCTGCACGAGCTCAACATCCGAAGCCTCAGGGCTCAGGCCCAAGTCCTGCAGGATAGCGTGGACACGGGCTGCCCCAGCAGAGGGGCTAGAGAGGACAGAGAACTGGTTTGGGGCTCAGCCCAGAAGCTCTCCATCCCACTAAAGCCCCATGGCTACCTTGGGGACAGAGAATCCTCCCCTTCCCCCAAGCCAAGAATACTCCACTAAGGCGCTGGCTCCCCTACTCACTCCTCCATCTCAGCCACGTGCTCCAGGAGGACGCTGCCTTGGCTCAGCAGGGCAGGGGAGGGGCAGCCACGGAAGAGGACCCCACGTCGGGTCAGGTGAGCTAGCACCAGCCGTACCAGCTCACCCAGGTACAGGCCCCCAATCATCTTCTCAAACCTGCAGGTGGGAAGGGTGGCTGGACAGAGTCTTTTCTAAGGCCTCAGTCTACCTGGCTCTACCTCCAAGAGTTCCCAAAGGAGGATTATTTTCTTGGAAGCCCCCAAATTAGAGGCTCCAGAAGCAACAAATGGTCTCCCAGAGGACAGATGGGTATATGCCCGGACGCCACTGCCCCCTCTGACGTAGGTTACATTCAGAAGCCTCCTGGAGAGGAAGCAGGACCCAAAGGAAGGCAGAGAGCACTTTGCTCAGCCACCTCCAACCCTCGACCCCCAATCTGTCAGGGCAGGCCAAAGTCAGGAATGGGGAGGGCCAAGGGTTGACAATTCTGGGTTCTAGAATTTTGTGCCCTTCCTTCTTTGCATCTGGCCAGGGCCCCCAGGTTGCTCCCTGGAGACCCTCAGGATGACAGGGAGGGGCCTAAGGGCCTGAGAACAGGGACAGAAGGGGTTGGGAGCAGAGCAGTCATAGACAAGGCCTGGAACCAAAGGTCAGGGCCCCCTGCCAGGCCACCTCTGAGCACCAGGATTCAGGGACTCATGGTCCAGGGTGTGGTCGAAGGTGGTCAGCACTGGCCCCAGTGCCCCATCATCGCTGAAGGAGCCCCACTCGACGCTGACGCAGACGCGGCCCCGGTCTTCATCCAGCACTGCCACGTCCCGCGCCTCCTCCATGTAACACACATTGGTGCCCGTGTCTGGCAGGGACAACCCTGTCAGGGCCTGCCTGACAGGCAGCGCACCCTCCACCCATCATCACAAATGGTCTGTGGCTCACCTACGACAAGCCCAACCTCACACGGCCTGGCCCCCAGCTCACAGCCCATCATGGTGCCCACTGTGTCATTCACCACAGCAACCACGTCGATGTTGTAAGCCTGGATGATGGAGAGGACAGAGGTCAAGGCTGGCCTGAGTGGCCAGAACAGAGAGCCCAGGGGATGGGCAGGGCTGGGGCCCTGGCTCTGAAGGAGACACACAGAGTCCATGAAACACATGTCTGCATGCCCCACACACTTATGCCACAGATGCTCTGGGCTCCCACCTTTTCCTTCAACCCCACACTCAGTCTCTCTGTAACCCCCACCTCGGGCCCCAGGTCACAGTGATGTCCACCTCAGCAGCTCCCAGGACCAGGATGAGTTTCTTGAGGCTGAGCGCCTCCTTGAAGGCTGTGCCTTGCCAGCCTCACCGTCATCCTGCCTGGCTCCCCGAGCCCATTCCTCCCAGCACTGGCTTCTCGCCACAGGGGCTTAGTCCAGACGGATCAGCCTTTCTCCAGCACTCAGACTTCTGAGTGTGGCCTTCTCTGAGACTAGATCTTCCGCCCCAGTCCCAGCCTAAGTACCAGGCAAACTCCTCCTTCAAGTCCCTGATCAAACAGCCGGCGCTTCCTCCTTAGTGCTCCCAGAGCTGTCCGCGCACACCTCCTCCACACGGACAATCTTTTATTAGAACGCTTCCCCCTATAGACTGTGAAAACCTTGAGGAGAAGGTCAGTCTATTCATGTTTGTTTGCCAAGGGTCCTGAGCATTTATTTGACCTTTCTTAGCCTCAGTGTTTTTTAACCTATACAATGGGAATGGTAGCGTCATGTACCTGAGGTTAAACTGGATGAAGGATGTGAAGAGGAAAGGAAACCAGCTTTCCCAGAAGCCCAGACCCAACACATGTGTGCCAGACCCAGGCCAACATGGGCAGCCCTCCTGTTACCCCTCCCTCCACTCACCCCCTGCCTCTGAATGGCATCTCTCAGCAGCTGGACCACATCCTGGCCTTCCACACCACTGCACCTAAAACCTTTGGTCCAGGAAATGAGGGTGCTCTGGAGGTAGAGAAGCTGGGTTACTCCGCTGATGGCTTTCATGGGGCTACAGCCACCCTCCGTCCATGGTCCCCATGCCCACTCCACCTCACCCTGTCCAAGCCTGTCTGGTGACAAGGGAAAGAGAAGCTGAAGCCAAGCTGCAGACCTTGTTTGCTCACAGGCTGAGCATCCAGGAACTCAGACAGGCAGTGGGCAGCAAAGTCAAATAGCTGTAAGACAGGTGAGGGGCTCAGCCTTGCCCATCTGAGCCCCAGCCACCCTGCCAGGCCCCCAGACCCCAGAGGCTGGGCAGTGAGTGTTTACCTGCTGGCCAGTACCTAGCATCACGTCTTGGGGGATCACAAACTCCTGGCTCCTGGGCTCCACCCTATGCCCCTCAATGCCAGTTAGAGTCACCCACAAAACACGCAGTGAGGCCCCTGTGGCCCCCAACTCCAGCACCACGAAGTCTCCTTGCTCTGGAGGGCAAACAGGTCACAGAAAGGCATGCAGCTGGCAAGACCAGAGCCCTCTGCCCACTCCCCAAATTCCTAAAGCCTGCAAAGTCTGGTCAAGGGGCCACAGAGGTGGGGAACAGGGATAAGGAACATTTCCCTCCTTTAGATCAGTACCCTCTTCCAGGCCTGGCCACGCATCTCAGTCTGTGCTACCCACCAGTGCCATGTGGGGTGGACCCCACATAGGTAGGCAGCATCCGGACCGCAGGTACAGGGCTGGCCTGTCCCCTCAGTGCCTGCTCCATGGAACCCAAGAGGCTGGCTTGGATCTGCTGCAGCTGTGCCACTGTCACCTTGAACTGCTGCAGGCAGTCCTGCACCTGGGGAGAAACAGGCCAACATCTGGGAGGAGCACTGCTGGGCTGGCCAGACTCCCCAGCTCCAACCAAGGCCGAGGCCTGCCCTGCCCAGCCCACTCCTTGGCTCTTCATACACCCTGGCTATCTTGCCGACAGCCTGCATCCAGCTCTGGCATCTTCAGAAGGCTCTGTCCTGGAAAGAAAACCCACCTTCTTCCTCCTGCCCCATAACCTTACGGCTCCTTCTCAACTCCCTACATCCTCTACCCCCCACCCACCCACCTTCTTTGAATTCAGGGTTTGGCAAGATCTTCTTCTTGCCGTACCACGAATGATTGCTCTCTGGCTCCCCAGGACCCACAGCAAGAGTCTCTCAGTGAGTTGTTGAGTGAACAAGAGAATAAACAAATGCACAAACAAACCTCAAGTGTTTCCCTCTCCTAACCCACTCTCAGACTCTGCAAAAGCCCAGCTCAGGAGCATTTGGAGACCACACTGCAGAGGATGGTCCTTTCTTCAGTCGGTCATCCTTCCTGAAATATTGCTCAGGCCCTCACTCCACACTCAGCTCCATTCTAAGCACCGTACACACTTAACCAACCAAGTCCTGCTCAGATTCCAGGGTGGAAGACAGAAATTAAGCACAGGAGCATACAATTTGGTTCCAGTAGTGATGGTGATGATTAAAGGGGGGGAATAGGTAGGAAATTAGAGAGTGACCAGGGTAGAAAGAGGTATTTTTAGACTCAAAGAGGGTTTCTCTGACGAGGTGACCTAAATGTAGAAAGGGAACAAGCCATTTGAAGATCCAGGGGAAGAGCAAGGGGATGGATTTGGGGAAGACAGATCTGGGAGTGGATCAGAGTCTGAAGGGGCAGGGGAGAAGGCAGGGAAGACAGAGGCCAGGACACTCCAGGCTCTCACTCCACCAGAAGCCCAGTAGCTTAATAGCCCCAGGGACCTCACTCCTGTGTGCCAAAACCTCCCCTAGACGACCCTCTCGCCCATCCTTCAAAGCCCCAACAGCCTCCCTGGATTAATTAGAGGGTCACAGCCCAGCAACTCCATCCTCCTCAGGCTCAGACTTTCCAAAGCCCCCACCTCCTATCACACAGGAGTTCCATTTCAATGACTTACTGCCCCCAACTGGACCTTTATCTGTGAAATAACCACTCAGGCACCTGGATCATGAGGCCCCTCCAGGGAGGAGCGGCTGGGAGGAGAGCCTGCCAGTTGAGGGAGATAAGGACAACTCAGTCCCAACTCCTGCTTTAGGAAAAGAATGGGAAACAGATCCCTAAGTAGGCAAATAATCCTACCTGGGGTGCCAGATGTCCAGTTACATGTTCACCTTACAGCACACACTTCCAGCAGCCATGCATGCTAGGAGTGCCCATGCCCACTCTACCTCACCCTGAGACTATCTGGTGACAAGTGAAAGCCAAGCTGAAGCCAAGCTTCAGACGTTTGCTCACAGCCTGCACATCCAGGAACTCAGGCAATGGGCAGCAAAGTCAAAGAGCTGCAGGACAGGCGGAGTCTGAGCTTTGCCCCTCTGAGCGCCAGCCACCCACATGTTAGAAACGTGGAGATGGAGGCTCAGAGAGGGCAGGTTGTCTGCCTGGCCAAGCAGCTCTGAAGAGGTAGGGGAGAATTTGAACCCAGATCTGTCTGACTGCAGAGATGTTTCCACATCAATGTGAAGCTTTATACAAACTAGCAAGTTCCCTTGAAGAGAACCCAAGGCTGATGAAAGTTGCTGGAAAGAAACCCCAGACGATCTAGCTTGAGAAAACTTACACCTGAACCCTCGCACTCCCGTTTTCTGGCTCTGCGGTCCCAGGAAAGTCATACCTCTCTCTGAGCCTCAGTCACCTCTTTGTGGAAAACTGAGAAAATAACAGTACTTGGAAGTCCCCCAGTGCCAGGGACTATGTCTTGCTCAAGGCTATATCTCAGGGCCACGAGGAGCACCAGCTGGAAGCAGGATTTGTTGATTGGATGGTTGTGGTGGCATAAGAATTAAAGGCTATAATGTATGTGAAAGTGCAAAGTGCCGCTAGGATGGAAGGGGCATTTTAGTATTGCTTAATGAAAACAGTAGAGTCATGGACAAGTCAATGGTTTGGGTAAATTGTTTTTCTTCCTTTTCCTCTTGGACACATTGAGATATTCAGGAGGAGAGACTAGGAGACAGCAGAACTGCGGGAAAGACAGAAGGGCCTCCCTGGCAGATCCTGGTGAGGCACACACAAGCCAGGAGAAGCTATTGAAGCCACTCCCGACATCCCAGGAAGAGCTGGGAGAGACCTCAGCCAGGAGAGCAAGGAGAAGGGCATTAGAGAGCGTGTGAAGTCCAATGTGGTTTCAACACTGGCTCTTGTCACCAACTTGCTGGCCTAGGCCCATCACCTCACCTCTCTGAGCAAGTGAGGAGTTGGGAAGGGCCTCTGAGATAGGGCTGGGAACCAACCACACATGGTTAACTAACCTTTTCTCAACCTAAGGCTGTGGTAAGGGGAGAACAGGGTAAGGCCTGTGGTGCCAAGGGGGGAGCCCGGAACCGAGGGAAATTTGGTGTCCCTGTGAAGTCCCCCAAAGCCAAAGGGAATTCTTTCAACTGCAGGTATATGTGATGGACCCAGCAGGGCAGATGTGAGCCCGCACAGGAGTGTCCTCAGGGAGGGACAAGAAGTGAGGGAGGAGATGGCGGCAGGCCCTAGGGCAAGTACTCGCCGGGCAGGCACTATGGTGCAGTCACTGCTCACTTCTGAGGCTTGGCTGTGGCTGTCAGTTGGACATAGGAGAACTGTCTGCAGCAGGGTCTAGGGTACAGGTTGGACAAGGGAGAAGTGGGAGCATGAAATGCAGCAAGGGGTAATGCAGCCACAATCTGGGCAACAAGCCTAGTCAAGTGGATGACAGAACATGACAGAAAACTAAAGAAACTGCAGAGAATGAGTCAAAAATACTTTAGTCAGCACCTCCTCTATCTTTTTTTTTTTGAAATGGAGTTTTGCTCTTGTTGCCCAGGCTGGAGTGCAGTGGCACAATCTCAGCTCACTACAACCTCTGCCTCTTGGATTCAAGCTATTCTACTGCCTCAGCCTCCCGAATAGCTGAGATTACAGGCGCCTGCCACCACGTCTGGCTAATTTTTGTATTTTTAGTAGATACGGGGTTTCACCATGTTGGCCAGGCTGGTCTTAAACTCCTGACCTCAGGTGATGCATCTGCCTTGGTCTCCCAAAGTGCTGGTATTACAGGCATGAGCCACTGCACCCAGCCACATGAAAGTCCTTTAGCTCCATTAGTCTTCGTGGGTGGGGAGTGTTAGACTTCATTTTCCTCCATTTTACTGATTAGGAAACAGATACTAAGAGACATGAAATGGATTACACAAGGGTTTCCTGCAAAAGGGTGTGGTATGTGACAGCTTCTAAATCTTGGTCAAGATGACAGAGAAAGGAGAAACTCGCATCTGAGCAAGCCTGAGGCAAGAGTTTGGCACTAAAATCATCTGTGTGCCTGACTGTAGTGGCTACATTGAGGAAGACATGCAGGAGGAACTGAAGTGGGAAAGAAACGGTCTCAAAAACACAGGTTTTGACCAGATAACCCTGGGAAGGTCCACTCTAGACTGTGTCAACCCACTTGGGGCAGGAGCGGCACCTGTGTGTCAAGGTGGCAAAAGTGATATGTTTGGAGCTGAAACACCTCAGCTCAAGCTCCTCTCATGTCTTAAACTCAAGTCATATCACTTCTTTCTGCCACTTTTCATCACTATTAGTAACATGATCATCTCAACCTTGCAGTTGTTTGGAGCCTGAAAGGAGATTGTTACCACCTCAGCTATGAAAAGCTTTGTAAAGTGGAAAGGGGCTGCATGGGCGAGAGCCCAGGGCCCCATGGCAGCTTCAGTCACGCTGCTCTTGACAGTCTTGAACAAGCATGAAACAGGGACCCAGTGCTGAACTTACCAGCTCTGAGCTGTCTGAGGGCCGGGGCAAGCCCTCCTCAGGGCAACTCAGGGCTTCTTCCCCCTGCTGCAACCCTTCAGACCTAATGGAGTCCATGAACTTCCACAGTGGAGGCTGGCCACCTATGGGAGAAAAGGGACAACCTGGGTCAACCACTTACTCTATAGGTCCTAGGAGTCTGTAACCCAGACCAATTTCCTTTCTTCTGAAGGGGACCAGGGAGGAAATTGGGGGCAGAATTCAGAACCTCCAACCATCAAAGATCCTGTAGCAGTCAACCAGAAGGCCCTTGTTTTTCAGAAGCACGCATAACGAAAGAGCACCGGAAAGGCTGATTTCAGTCCAAATGCCATTCATTAATTCTCTCAATTCATTCACATTCACTAGTTCCTGATGCCTGCTATGCTGGATGTTGCAAAACAGACAAAGCAGACCTAGGCCCTGCCCTCAGGGACCTCATAGTCTCATCAACAATCACAGTATGATTAGCACAGGCAGTGGGAGAGATGGCCACGGGCAATCGATGGACATGCTGCTGTGGTTGGGCAGTCAGGGACATGCTAGCGGCTTGGAACAAAGAAAGAACCAAAGATCTGACAGAGAAGCAGGGAGGCTGGATAGGGACAGCCATTATCCCAGGCTAAGGCACATGAATTTTCATCCTGAAGGCAACAGGGGTCATGGACAGGGGTGGGTATTCCACTAGTGACATGACCTTGAGCAGGTCATTTATGACTTCTTTGAATTTCAGCTTCTATCTGTAAAACAGGCAGAAATAATATCTACTCTCACAAGGTTGTTGTGAGCACTAAATAGAGTAACACCTGGGGAAGTGCTTTATGAAATGTGATGTGCAACATAAACATCAAGTGGGCGTTGATGGCGCAGTGGTGCAGAGCAGAAAGAGGCTGGTGCTCAGAGGTAGGGACCCGGCTCTTCACAAGGCAGCTGGACCACAACTCTCAACCTCGAGGTTTAATCTTCATCTGCGAAATGGAACCAACATATATCAAAGGGCTTTGTGGTGCATATGAGATAATGAAAGCAAAATAACTTGGCGGGGCACCGTGGCTCATGCTTGTAATGCCAGTACTTTGGGAGGCCGAGACGGGTGGATCACCTGAGGTCAGGAGTTCAAGACCAGCCTGGCCAACATGACAAAACCCCATCTCTACTAAAAATATAAAAATTAGTCAGGTGTGGTGGTGGGCGCCTATAATCCTAGCTCCTTAGGAGGCTGAGACAAGAGACTCACTTGAACCTAGGAGGCAGAGGTTGCAGTGAGTAGAGATAGGGAGCCACTACACTCCAGCCTGGGTGACAGAGCAAGACTCCATCTCAGAAAAAAAAAAAAAACTTGCTTAGATGTGCATTCAGATTTACGTAGCTGAATCTGAACCAAAACTCTATGAGTCTCAATTTCCTCTTCTAACATGCAAGCTAAGTTCTTGTGAGGATTAAAGGAGTTAATGGTCCTTTGCACACTGTAAAGAACTGTAGAAATGTCAGATATTTTGCTCATCTGAGCAGGAGGTGGTATTGCTGTTCAGTAGTCCCAAGGGAGCCCTCCATGATTCAGGTGCTCTTTAGGGGTGGAGGAAAAGGGAAACACAGTGGAGGGCCCAATATGGAAAGAGACATCTGTCCACGGAATCACTTCATCTCTCTTCCTTCCCACAGCAAAACTGCTGGAAATATAGTACCTTCCCACCCCAGCAATCCCCTCCTCGCCTTCTCCCATTACTCTCACTAATTTGCCCTCCACTAGACTCCTAACTCCCTAATCCAGAGCCTTTTCCTCAGTCCCCACCTTTACTGCCCTCTCTCAGACATGCAAATCCACTAGTCATTCTCTTTGCTACAAAACTCCCCCTGTCCTTAGCTTTCACAGCCAGTCTCTCCTAGGTCTCCTTCCTGAGTCTCTCATAGTCTTCATCAGTAACTTATCTTCCTTTAGACAATGGGGTTCCCAAGTTTCTGGTCATGCCCTCCCTCTGCATTCCCTTTATCTCACCCATTCCCAAGCTTTCTTTAACAGCTACGTTAGGGCTCCCCAATCTACCTTTGGCTTGAGCCAAATCCTAAATCCCAATGGTCTGTTAGACATCACTAACTGGATGGTGGAGAAATTCCTCCTCAAATCCAACAAAGCCACATTCATTTTTCCATCAGTTTTCCCCCACAAAGCTCTTCTGTTCTCTACCTTGACTGGAGGCATCGCAGTGTGCTCACACACGGCCATTCAGGTTGCCTGTGCACATCCTGACCCTCAACTCCTCTATGCAATTGGATCTCAGGCTGAGAGTTCTCCTTTGCGTCCCCTCCTCCCCATTCCCACAGCCACTGAACCAGATCATCGGCCTGATTATTACAACAGCTTCCTGATACCTCTGCTTCTAGTTTCTTCACCTCTGCACTCATGGCCAGTACAGAGTCTGGCATATGTGCTAACGTACCTTTCTAAAACCGGAAGCAAGGGGAGTGGGGAGTTTTCTCTTATTTAATAAAACAACAAATCAGCTTCTGATAAATCATCCCCAAACCACGCATACCTATGCTCTTTCCAAATCCATCAGACAGGGATGTGAAATGCTTGTTCTATGCTACGGGTCTATTTCAAGGATAAAATGAAGTAACTGGGGCAATTACCTTTGTTAAGAAAGAAGGGCTACACACGTGGCCTTCTCCTTTCAAGACCTAGGTAGCTCATTCATTCATTCACTCACTCATTCATTCCCTCATCCATTGGATATTTATCCAGCATTTTTACATGACAGAATCTGTGAAGTAACCCCCAAGTAGCCTTAATATGTATATGGTAGGTACATGTATTCAGCTCTGTCTCTTCCAACTGGGATTCCTTGTGGGGAGGGATGTGTCTCCTTCACTGCAGTATCCCCAGAGCCCAGCCTAGGGTCTGCACATGTTTGACTAAGGGACTCTTGGCTTTCCTTAGCTCAATGGGCTACCTGAAGTGAGTTTTCCTTCTGAAAAGTACCCCAAGGACCTCTGCTGATGTTGGGAGCTGCCATTAAGAACCAGCTGGCAAGCTGGATGCGGTGGCTCACACCTGTAATCCCAGCACTTTGGGAGGCTGAGGCGGGCAGATTACTTGAGCCAGGAATTTGAGACTAGCCTGGGCAACATGGCAAAAACCCATCTCTACAAAAATAAAAAATAAAAAAATTAGCTGGGTGTGGTGGTGTACGCCTGTAGTCTCAGCTACTGGGAGACTGAGACAGGAGGATCACTTGAGCCCAGGAGGTTGAGGCTACAGTGAGCCCTTACTGTGCCACTGCACTCCAGTCTGGGTGACAGAGAGAGACTTCGTCTCAAAAACAAATTAAGGGAACCAGCTGGCTTAATCTTTCCAGTGTCCATTTCCCCTAGTGTGAGCCAAACAGGAGGGATGAGGACAAGACAGCTTTGGAAGGAGCAGGCAGTAATTAGACAGAGGCGCTTACCTGGAACACACAGAAGCTGGTCACTCTCCTCAGGTCTGAGCTCGTCTGGCAATGTGAGGCACCCCAATGTACCCAAAAGTGACACTGTGCCAAAAAGTGACACTCAGGGATGACCCGAGTTATAATATCCTCAAACCCCACCCTTTTCCTCCACCACCACTTACCAAACATCAGTTAATTCAGGAAGCTGTACTTCCTTCCAAGCCTGCCCTAAGAGTAGCCCAGGCTAGGCAAGGCTGTGGTGAAAACTTGCAAGATGACCACAGCAAAGTTGAGCCTTGGTCTGAGTCTAAGATTGTGGGACATTATCTCTACAATGCTGAGGGCTCTGTTTATTTTGTAAATGAGTTTTGAGGTGGTGGATCACCCCTGGAAGGAGCTGGAGGCACCTAGCCCAGGAAAGTTATGGTAAGTACTTCTGAGCAAGAGGCAATGTGGGAGCACAACAGAAAGTGGCTGACTCTGCCCAAGAGTGGGCAGGGCTAGCTGAGGAAGCTGAGCCTTGAAGAAAGAACAGCAGTATGATGACAGAAGTGGTCCTTGACAAAGTGGAGAGCACATACAAAACCATGAATCACACACACACAGGTGCCTTCATGGAATGAGGTGCAGCTCCAAGCACCTGAAGAGGATACATGAAGGTGGGGATACATGGTGGGAGAGGTGACAGATGAGGAGGTGACAGACTGTGGAGTCGAGCCTTTAGTCTGTAGGCCAAGCAGGGAGAATAGTTTCACATGGCAGGTCTTCTCTACTGAAGAAGGGGAATCTTAGGCTGTTGTGGAGCTATTGGCCAATAAGCTCTTTTTCTGCAGAAATTTCTCCTCAAAGGCACAGAACCTTGGAGCACCAATGCAGGATACTAGACAGCCTGCAACAATCTTTGTTGAAGGCAAATTGGTGGATACACACTCTAAAGCTTCAGGCTGCCTCATCAGCAGTAACCTTATCATTATTCACAGATAGTACGAGGCCTCCACATCAGGATGGAGACCAGGGACAGTAGCTCCTCCATCAGTTGTGGCATGGTGAGGCCTGGAAACATGCCAAACGTCAGTCCTGCTGTGCTGTTTACGGGGTACCAACCAGGCATATAGTCTGTGAAAGATAGGGAAGTGGGGGATGGGGCAGCAGAGGGTAGAATGCCTGTCACCCACAACATAGCATCCTGCCTAGCCTGGGATCCCAGTCCCTCTCAACTTTGTTCAGCTGGGAGAGGAGAATTTGGAGCTGAATATGAAAGGCCCAGCTGTGATTCATGCTGACAGCCTGCAATTTCTTGAGCCAGGGTGAGGATATGCCCCTAACAAGCATTGCCAGGGCTCTTCATCTGTGTTTCTGGAAGGTCTGTATCCAGACCCCAGGAGCAGGGGTCCTGGTCCCCTAGTCATAATGCCAAGGAAAGTCTGGGTCAAGGTCAGTGGAGGGAGGACGGCTGAGCTTGAGTTCTGTGAGCAGCTGGGACAGCCTGGCTGTAGCAGAGGCACTGCAGCTGCCAGTGGTTCTCTTCAGAAACCAGATGGCCCCTGACCAACAAAAGGAAGGACAAGTCCTGACAAGGTTCCCTCATAGCCCCTTAGTGCCAATCTCCAACTATACAGATAGAGCTAAGGAATGAGGATAGGCAGTTCACTGGGGGAGAGGTGGGCACAACCAGAGCACTGCCGACGGGCTGGGAGGTCAGGCCTTCCCTCTGAGCTTGCTCACAGGCTTGCTTCTCACCACCCACAGTCCCCAGCCAGGCACACAGATCCTCAATACGCTCCCCCACGATTTGCTCCACACCCTTTATACTGTGGATGTGCCTTGCAGCTCTCCTACACACATCAAGCTACTTCTAACTATCGTGTCTTTGTGATGACGTGTCTGGAATGGCCCTTGCTTTGTCCTCTCCCACCTTTTCACCTAAATTTTCCTCATCCCTTAAATTATAGTCAATGGGGAGCCCTCCCTGAAAAGCTTCTCCTGGCCGACCCCATTTGAGTGTGGTCTGCTTATTGATTCTGTATAATCTTGGATGTTCTTGTATCACTGCATTTATATCTGTTTATTAAAGGCATCTGCTTATGTGTCCATCTTCCCCATTGTACTGTGGGTTCCCAGAAAATGTTTCTTATTCACCTGTACAGCCTCAGAGCGCAGTTCTATATCTGGTAAAAAACAAATCTCAGTTAATTTTTGTTAAATTAAAGAGCCTTCCCACAACTTCAACAGTCCAGGGCTGGCCGGGTGCGGTGGCTCAATCCTGTAATCCCAGCACTCTGGGAGGCCGAGGCAGGTGGATCACTTGAGGTCAGGAGTTCAAGACCAGCCTGGGCAACATGGTGAAACCCAATCTCTTCTAAAAATACAAAAATTAGCTGGGCGTGGTGGTGTGCACCTGTAATCCCAGCTACTTGGGATGCTGAGGCAGGAGAATCGCTTGAATCGGGGAGGCAGGGGTGGCAGTGAGCCAAGATCACGCCACTGCACTCCAGCCTGGGTGACAAGAGGAAGCCTCACAAAAAAAAAAAAAAAAGAAAAAAAAAGACCATGGCTTTTGAAACAGAGAGGAAATAAGTACTATCTTCCTGGTGCACATGGTTTCAGCAGTCTTTCACTCGTCCATCTTTCCACTGACAACTACCAACCCTCTCATCCACTCACTACCTGCCTTCCCCTCCCCAAATTCCCATCTGCTAACTTTAGGCCACAGCTACCCTGCCTCACAGGCAAAAATGAGCTGATCCAAACCTGAAATTTCCCTTGAGTCATTAGTTTTGTGACTCAAATGGAAAGTAGGAAGTAGTGTGGTATAGTACAGAGAGCTTCAGCTTTGGGGTAGTACAGACCTGGGTTCAAAATCCCATCCCATTACCAACTGAATGACATTAGGCAAATCTCTTCACTTCTCTGAGCCTCGGTTTTCCTTGTATAAAACATGGAGATGAATTTCTTCATAGGATTTGCTTTACATTACATCCCCCCAGAAGCAGACCTAATTTGAATGCAAATAACTTTATTCAGGAAGTGATCCAGGGTAGGGCCAGGATTAGGGCAATGCAAGTGACATGCCTAGGGTAAAGAAAGTAAAGAGACCCTCTCAGGTTCACACAGGTGACAACCTAGCAGTTAGATGAACCCAAGAATAAAGGCTCCTCACCCTAGGTCCAGTCCTGATCCAGAAAACACGGAAGAGGAGCTGGAAGCCAGGTAGGAAGAGAAAGAAGTCAACAGTGATATAATATTACTAGGAGCTTACAGAGGTTCACTCCCACAGGGAAAACTGACAGGTAGAATGTGCCTTAGAGTTGTCTCTCCTTAAGTGAGGAAGCTGGGGTATTTATCCTACCACTTCCACTGGCTGAGAGCTGCCCCGGGGGCACTAATTCTCTGGCACTCCCAGCTTGTGTCAACACAAACCAAGAGAACTTCTCAGGCGAAGAGTCTCAGGTTCTTGCAATAGGATTCTGTGGGTATATAGCAGAATGGTGAGTGCTGGGGGGAAATGGGCCAGGCACAACCTCTGCTGGGGCTGCTATAAGGACTGAATGAAAAACACAACTATAGTGCCTTACAAAGAGAAGTCCTCCTCTATCTCTTCTAATTTATGGCAATAGCTCGTGAAGTTCATGGAGCTTCCCAGCTCTCCATGAGTTGGCAGCACCAGCAGAACAGTTGTTTGTCAACTTTCAGAAGTAAAAGAAATCCAGGGGCCCTAGGAGAGCCTAGATGCCCAGGACCCAAGTTTCCTGTGGAAGCCTGAAGTTTGGTGGAGCCAGAGTAGTCCCTCCTGAGTACATACTCCTCTGAAAACTGTCTCCTTTTGCATCTGCACCCCGCCCCCAGCCTTCCACCCCTTAGTGCAACATCATTTGTGACACATAGACTAGCATCACATTAATAACAACTGCTGCCACTAATTCATTCTTCTAGGTGAAGACACTGTGCTAGAATCTTTATGCACATTATGGTAATCCTTAGAACCCTGTTAGTATGATTTTACCAGATCTCAGAGGCTAACTCTTTATCAGAAGCAGGGTGCGTATGTAGGCTGATCTCACATATTTGCCACTGTCTCTTCATTCTTTCACTAATGCTCCTCTCACAGGATCACAGGATGGGGAGAATAAATTGCGGGCAAATAAGACTGTTTTAGGGAGGTGACAGGGGCAGCGGGTAGCTGTTCTTCCTTTGACTCCCCATTAGCTAATAATTAAGTCTATGGTTCCTGGTCTGGCTGATCCATACCCTCCTGCCATTGACTCATGTTTTAGGGAGACTGCTCAATTTTAAGCTAAATAATTCACTTTCCAGAAGTAGCCCTTTCCCTTTTCTTATCTTCAAGCAAACAGATACACACACTATCCCGTTTACAGAGCTCTACCTCCAATAAATTGCCATTTAATGAGACGGAAAACAAGCGAGAGTTAAGCTTATGAGACATAGCTGATAAACTACTTTTCACTAGAAGGAAAACAGGAAAATAATACTGGAGTCAAAATATAGCATTTTCTTTAGGAACGAAGAGTAGGGGCACTGTGGCCTTACTGCCGTGGACAAAAAGTGGCTTACTTGTTCCTCTAAGCCTTTGTTTCCTCATCTGGAAACTGAGATAATACCTACCCCAGAGGGCTGCTATGAGGATTAAATGAAGGCCATATACATTGCCTGTGAGATAAGGGCAAAAACAGAAGCTTAAGCACTTCCATCTTATAGAGAAGCCACCTGGGCCCTGGGAAGAGGTGTAATTCTCAAAACTTATTGTACTGCAGTTCTCAGAGGTGTTAAGGGTAAAAATTTCCACTGCTACCCCCTGCCCCTTGCAGCAAACCGCTAACTTTAGCTTCTGTACAGACAGCTTGCCTTGCACACCCCTGGGCACCCCTGAATAAGGATGTGGTTTTGCAGCTTAAAGGCCCTGCTCCCCCTGAGCTCGGGGCCACGGGTTGGAGAGACATGAGTCCTCCGTGGCCGCCGGCAATAAAGACCCTGCAATTTGGCATAGTTTTGTCTTGCTGTTGATTTCCTGCTCGCTCAGGTGCTACATCTGGAGGCCCCAGTGAGATTTCCTTTCTCCCTCCATCACCAGACAAAAGCCGTCTCAGAGCCTCAGCCGGGCGGTTGCCCCCGCCCCAGGGATCCCTAGGGGAGGCGCCCCCTGAGACATTCCAGGGCCCCAGGGTTCAGGCCCCATGGCAACTGTGTCACCATGCTGCCAACATTCACCCAAAATTCTTCAGGGTCCTGGGAACCTCCGGAGGTAAGTCTGTTCTGGAATCTGGGGACTAGTCCATTGGTATCTGTAGCCTGAGTCAGGGGACTGGAAGCGGTCACTGCAACTCTGACCCCAGCAAGCCTCCCCGAGACATCACCTGAGGCTCTGGCATCTGGTAGCTAGTATAGTGGGTATCAACATTTGGTTGTTTTCTGTAACCTCTGTGTGAGTGTGAGAGTGAATGTGTATATACGTAGTCCCACGGCCAGTAGGTTACAGGATTTGTGAGGGCCTTCACCCACGATTCCACAGGAGCGTCATAAGGCGTAATGGTAATTCACCTCAGAACCAAAAATTCTGAGGTGACCAGGCCCGGGGTTTATACGGGTACACCTTAGCCAAGACGTCCTGAAATATCCCTCCGGGAACGTGGCCAGGCAGGCATCAGACTGGTCTCCCATCTAGGGGGGCACCCATCCTTTGTCTGTCCATCTTATATGTGGTTCTGTCTGTATTGTAGATTCACCAGTTTTGTTGGACTTTTGTTGGCTAATATACAGTGGTTCAGGCCTGCTTCCCTTGAGGTAGAAAACATTTTACAGTGGCTGACGGACCACTGGCTGCAGGGGACCTTTACCGAATTTATGCCCTTGAAAATAACTCTGTTCTCTTTCCTTTTCCTATTCCTTTTCTATAATTGAGGCCTCACTTTTCCTTTTCTCATTCTTCCTTTTCTTCCATGTCCGGGAGAAGATTCTGTCCTCGACGACTCGGATGTAGTTTCTTTGGAGTCTTGGGAAATCAAATCCTAGGTAAAAACCTGCCAGCTCTTCTTTTCTGATTAGAATGGGAAAGGAGTAGCTATCTATTCTGTCAAAAAAAACATTCAATGTTGTTACCAGCGTTGCCCAATCCTACATCATGAGTCTATATATTGGCACCATCCTGACTGTTGGGAGGTTGGATGTCATGGCCTACTAGAAACTGATTGGCAAAGATTTTATACCCTCTATAAAGTGTGGTGGATTCAAAATTCTCAACCAGTAGATCTCTTAGTCCACCTATTTTGTCACTTCCCAACCTTCCCAAAGCCTCTGACTGCCAGGATATACATAAAAGAGAATTATGCCCGAGTGGCATTAAATCTTCACCAGGCTTACTACTGCCAGTTGTGGCTAAATAGTGGGGAGCCATATACATTTCCTTGGCCTCTACCACCTGTCCCCTTGGCCCGGACTAGAGATAGACCCATCAACTTAACAGTCTTTTCTTTACAAGACCTAGCAGTGGAAGCATTGCTAAACCCAATACTAGAACGGGCACAATTTGAATTCGAGGCTTTCCAGAATTGGCTATACCATAAAAGCAGAAAAGCCCAGGTGGTTATTGGGGAACGTAGGAGAAGGTGACGAAAATGGGTTCATCACACTCCCAACCCTGCACCCCCCTCCAGTGCATGACAGTAAATTTTAAGGCGGTGTTTTCTGGTCAGTATGGCGTTAAATTAACCCCCAAAAAACTTCGTACCCTCTGTGAATTAGAATGGCCATCATTTGGATTGGGGTGGCCAGATATGGGAACCTATGACCCAAAAATAACCCAGGCCACCTGGAATGTTGTAACAGGTTCCCCAGGCCACCCTGATCAATTCCCCTACATTGATCAATGATTAGGTTTAGTCCAGCAGCCCCCCCGCCGGCTGAATCGTTGCATCAAACAGGCTGTGCTACAAGCTATGATAGCAACCCCAGGCCCAAAAAAATCACCCTCAGCACCAACTATACTCCCTAGTTTGGCAGAAGACCAAGAGTTACCTCCACCTTATTCTAGGCCCCCCGAGAAAAGGGGCCAATACCCCACTCCGGACAGTACTAGTAGCCAGCCCTTATACCCTTTACATACCTGAAGTGGGACCCCACATCCCCCAGCTGTCCTTCCTCTCAGGGAGGCACCCCCTTCATGGGACAGTGACAGGGGCCGGCCATTTTTTGTCCATATCCCTTTCTCCTCAAGTGATTTGTACAGTTGGAAGACTCAACACCCTCCATTCTCTGAGAGGCCCCAGGTGCTCACAGGGCTCCTGGAATCTGTTTTACAAACCCATCGTCCCACACAGGATGACTGTCAACAATTATTTCTAATCCTCTTCACCACTGAAGAAAGGAGTAGGATTAGGCAGAAGGTCTTAAAGTCTATCATAGGTCTCCAGAGAGGTACGGTGGAGGAAAACCAGGGCTGAATTAATGAAATATTCCCTTGCACCCGACCCCAATGGTACCCAAACACTTTGGCGGGTCTGCAGGCTTTGAACAATTTTCATGGGTATCTATTAGAGGGGGTTAGGAAAGCGGCTCATAAGCCCACTAACCTCTCCAAGGTAGGGACCATAACTCAGGGTCCACAGGAGTCGCCGGCTGCTTTCCTTGAGCGCCTGCAAGATGCATATCGCACCTACAAGATGCATATCGCACCTACACTCCTAATGACCCTGAGGCTTTAGAAAACCAGCGGGCCATCAATCTGGCTTTTGTCTCCCAGTCCGCCCCAGATATCAGGAAAAAGTTACAAAGGTTGGAAGGATTCCAAGGAATGAATTTAACTCAATTGTGGGAAACTGCCCAAAAAGTTTTTAATAATAGGAATACCTCAGAGGAGAGGCAGGATAAGAGAGTTACTAAAGCAATAACAGCAGCTCTTCAGGAAACCCAAGTTATTCCACGGGGACCAAGGCCCCGGTCAAGTGACCCCACAGGAGGCCCTCGGGGTCCCCGGCCCTGGCTTAGAAATAACCAGTGCGCATTCTGCTGACAGGAAGGTCATTGGAAAAATAAGTGCCCCGAGAGGAAAAGGCAAGACACAGCTCAGGAAAGGCAGCCACGAGCCATTCTCAATTTACAGAGCCAGAAATGACAGGGCTGGGGCTCTTACTTATTAAGCCCCCAGGAGCCCGAGGTCACTTTAAAGATTGGGGGCACGCCTGTCAGCTTCTTAGTAGACACCGGGGCAGCTCATTCAGTCCTTACTCAGCCTCTGGGACCACTATCCAGTAGAAAAACAATTATTCAAGGGGCCACAGGAAAAACCACAACAAGCCCTTGGACCACCAACCAACTTGTTGATCTGGGGAACGGCACTGTCACCCACTCCTTTTTAGTTATTCCAGAATGTCCATACCCCCTCTTAGGACAGGACTTACTCTACAAACTTCAAGCAAACATTTCTTTTTGTGAGAGTCAAGCTTGCCTCTCAATTCCTCCTCGTTAGGCATCAGGGCCACCCCAGCAAATCCTCATCACCTGTGCCCTGTCAGATGAGTATCTCTTGCAGGAAACCTTATCCTCAGAAACAGACCAACCACCAATATCAAACCTCCTCCGCCTGTTCCAAGAAAGCATACCTGGAGTCTGGGCTGAAACAAATTCTCCAGGCTTGGCAAATAACCGTACCCCAGTCGTAGTCCAGCTATTGGCAACAGCAACTCCAGTTCAGGTACGACAATATCCCATGGGCCAAGAAGCCAGATGGGGAATTACTCCACATATATCCAGGCTCCTAGAAGGAGGAATCCTTATTGCTTGTCAGTCCCTCTGAAATACTCCCTTGTTCCCTGTCTTGGAACCAGGCACAAAGGACTATTGATCTGTGCAGGACTTAAGGGAAGTAAACAAACGAGTGGAAGCTGTCCGCCCAACGGTCCCAAATCCGTACACCCTCCTAAGTCTCTTGGGCCCAGAGCACCACCATCATACTGTTCTGGATCTCAAGGATACATTTTTCTGCATCCCACTGGCTCCTATTAACCAGCCCATATTTGCTTTTAAATGGACTGACCCCAATACTGGGGTCTCAGGACAACTCACTTGGACAAGACTGCCTCAGGGGTTCAAAAACTCCCCCACTTTGTTTAACGAGGCATTTAGCCAAGATCTTGCCACTTTCCGAGCTGAGTTCCCCAAGTGCACCCTACTGCAGTACATGGATGGCTTACTCTTGGCTACAAAAATCCAGGAGGCCTGTCAAGAGACCACCCAGTCATTACTAAAGACCCTACAAACTCTAGGTTACTGGGTCTCAGCTAAAAAGGCCCAGCTCTGTCAGCCAAAAGTTACTTATCTGGGTTATATTATAAAAAAAGGCAACAGGGCACTGGCACCCAGCCGAATGCAAGCAGTGCTGCAAATACCCACCCCTACCACAAAACTCGAAGTTCGAGAATTCCTTCGGGCGGTTGGGTATTGCAAACTATGGGTCTTGGGATTTGCTGAGATAGCTAAGCCCCTGTATGCCTGCACTGAAGGAATTCAGCCCTTAACTTGGACTAAGACAGAACAACGAGCTTTTGACGAGCTCAAAAGTGCCCTAACTACGGCCCCAGCCTTGGCCTTGCCAAACATCTCCAAGCCCTTCTGGTTGTTTGTACATGAAAAACAGGGAGTCGCTAAGGGGGCGCTCACCCAGACATTGGGACCATCGTCCCGGCCAGTCGCCTACGTTTCAAAAAGGCTTGATCCCATAGCCTCTGGGTGGCCAACTTGTCTAAGGGCAGTTGCAGCTATGGCCCTCTTGGTCAAGGAGGCGGACAAATTAACCTTAGGGCAGGAGTTAAACTTAGTGGCACCCAACGCGGTGGAGTCCCTACTCCGTGGAGCGCCAGGAAAATGGATGTCAAATGTCCACATAGTTCAGTATCAGGCTTTGCTTTTGGACCAGCCCCGCATAAAATTTTTAAAGACTACAGTTTTAAACCCAGCCACGCTGCTACCTGACAGCGAGCTGGAGAAGCCAGTACATGACTGCCAGCAGACAATGGACGTCCTCCATGCTGCTTGACCGAACCTTACTGATGTCCCCCTACAAAACCCAGAGGAGGTACTGTATACAGATGGCAGCAGTTTCGTGGTCGACGGGCCCAGGCTCTTCTGCATGGAACCTCAGCCTAAAAGGCAGAACTCATAGCTCTAACAAAGGCCTTAGACTGGGCGGAGGGAAAAACTGTTAATATCTACACGGATAGCCGGTATGCCTTTCCTACGGCCCATGTACATGGAGCCATTTATAAAGAAAGAGGGCTACTCATCTCAAAAGGAAAAATCATCAAAAATAAAGAGGAAATCCTAGCCCTATTAGAGCCTATTTGAAAGCCTAAGGCAGTGGCATTAATACACTGCAAAGAACATCAGAAGGGAGATTCACCAGAGGCAAGGGGAAACAGAGCAGCTGACCTACAAGCCAGACAGGCAGTCTTGGGGCCAGTAAAACCCCTGACTCTTCTTGTAACTCTGCCGGCCCCAACCCTGCCCCCTACTCCTACGTACTCACCTGATGAAGAAAACTTTGCTAAAGAACATGGGGCCACACAAAATTCCACAGAATGGTAAATCCTACCGGATACAAGGATTGTGGTCCCCAAGGCTCTAGGATGGGCGCTAGTTAAGGACACACATCAGGCCACACACTTAGGACAGACAAAACTAATTAAGCTGTTAAGAGCCAGATACCACATTCCACATTTACATGAATTTGTTAAGAAAACTACAGCTTGATGTGATATATGTGCTAGGGTAAATCCAAAAGGCAACAAGTTTAACCAGGCAGAAATATGACTTAGGGAAACTAGCCCTGGGGAGCACTGGGAAATAGATTTCGCTGAAGTAAAGCCCCCGCTAAGTGGCTACAAATACCTTCTTGTGTTTGTGAATACGTTCTCTGAATGGGTTGAGGCTGTCCCCACTAAAGCTGAAACTACTTTGGTAGTCACAAAGAAACTCCTACAAGATTTGGTCCCCCGGTTTGGCCCGCCTTTAATGCTGGGATCAAACAATGGGCCAGCCATCATGACTCAAATCTCTCAAAGCCTGGCCAAAGCATTGGGCATATCTTAAAAACTACACTGTGCCTATTGCTCCCAGAGTTCAGGTCAGGTCGAAAAAATAAACAGAACCATTAAAAAAACTCTGACAAAATTTATCCTGGAAACCGGTGAGAATTGGGTCAGCTTGCTTCCTTTTGTCCTCCTCCGTGTCCGATGTACCCCCTACCACAAAGGTTTCTCTCCCTTTGAAATCATGTTTGGGAGGTCCCCTCCCTTGCTCCCAAAACCCGCAGATACCATGCAAGGTGAAATCCATAACCATACACTCCTTAAGTCCTTACAGGCACTTCAGTCTGTCCAACTCCAGGTGCATCAGCTCATCAGAGACACTCGAACCCCATCAGTGGACCTCTCAAACCAGCCAGCACATTCCTTCCAGCCTGGGGACTCGGTCCTTGTTAAGAAATTCACAGCCTCCGGTCTGACTCCTCGTTGGAAAGGACCCTACACAGATAGCCTGACCACTCCCACCGCACTTAAGGTGGACGGACTGACTGCCTGGATTCATCACACCCACGTTAAGACTGCCCCACTGGAAGAGCAATGAAAAGTTGACCACTCATCACTGGATCCGTTAAAGCTAAAACTTTTGTGCTCTTCGCGGTCACCACCCTTGTCTCCCTAACCCTTGCTGTAAACCCCTAAAAAAGACCTCCCTTGGAGCCCACTCATTATCAATGAATCCTTACAGTGGGCTCCACGGGAAATTATGTTAGTTCCCTAATAAAGAAGGAATCCACCCTTGTCAACTTAACCCTTGAGTATACCCCAAGAAACCCTGCTGTCTTCACCTTAGGCCTCTGTGCCCTCCTGGGCCAATACCTAAAATTCAGAATAAGTGAAAGTATAGCCGGGTGCAGTAGTACAGAAGCAGAGAAAAAACTCCAGACCATGGGATTATACTTATGTCCAGGGTCCACCCCACAAAAAAAAATGAAACTGTGGAAATTTAAATAAGTTCCATTGCCCCCACTGGGGTTGTGAAACTATCTCTACCATATCGGGCTATATCAAAAACAAAGACTCATTCATCTCCTTCCAGCGGGCATCTCCCCATCCCAGCTCTGCTGGTTCCTGTAACTCAGTCAAAATAACTGTAGCTACCCCAGATAGTAGATGGACAACAGAGCAAACTTGGGGCCTCAGAGTATATATGAGCGGGTGGGATATGGGCAACATTTTCACCATCCAGCACATGGCCCTGCCACGACCTAACCGCCCTATAGGAAAAATTGCAGAAGTCCTAAAACCCCGGGAACCTTTCCCCAAAACCCGAAAAGTCCAGTCTCCTAATCCTACCCTTCCCTCCACTTCCCACTCAGTAACAAATCTAGCCATAGAAGATTTAAACCTCCCAGACATACTGTCCTCAACTCATCACTTACTTAACCAGTCTAGCCCAAACCTGGGTGCAGACTGCTGGTTATGCTTAAACCCACAGCCGCCGTTTTACACAGGCTTAGCAGCGCAGCAGAACATAACCCCCTCCAGCACCCCCTGTTCTAAAAGAAAGTTCCACATAACTCTAGATGATCTAAAAGGAAAGGGTAAATATTATCATTCCCCTAACTATATCCTCACTAACTCCCCATACCAGCAATTCTATAATGACATCCTCCTTTTGACCTATAACGAAACAAATTTTTACTATACTGCCCCAGACTCATCTTGGTTAGCCTGCACTTTCGGTCTCACTAACTGCATTTCCACTTTTCAGTTTAACAATTTCTCGAGACCCGTCTCTGTACCCCGGTATACATTTTGCCCGGCGTAAATATCTATAGTGGGCCACAAGGTTTAACTCTCATTGCCCTCTCTCACTCAACTACACTCTGGAAGCGAATTCCTCTAGTCGTACCCCTACTAGCAGAACTTGAAATTGCCGGATCTGCAGCCATAAACATCTCAGCCCTAGTGACTGGAGGCCAAAACTTCAAGGCCCTATCCCACCATATAGACTCAAATATACACCATTTATAAAACTAACTTGCGGACCAGATTAACTCCCTAGCTGAGATGGTACTCCAAAATAGACAAGGGCTGAACTTACTATTTCTAAAACAAGGGGGACTCTGTGCAGCTCTCAATGAGGAATGTTGTTTTTACGCTAATAAATCTGGACTAATCCAAAACAGCCTTACCCTAGTTAGGCAAAATCTAAAAACCAGAAAACACTTCAGAGAAGCTTCTAAAAGTTGGTATCAAAGAATGTTCTCCTGGTCCCCCTGGCTTACCTCCCTACTCACCGGATTGGCAGGACCCCTAACCCCACTCATATTGAAACTAATGTTCGGCCCTTGCCTTTTGAATCAACTACTCAGACTAATCCAAACAAGAATAAATTCTGTAAAATTAATGGTCCTAAGATCCCAGTATAAGCTGTTGAGCCAGACTGATCAATCAGTCTTAATCAGGAAATCAATGATTTAATTCATGTACAAACAACAGGGGTGAATGAGATGGGGCAAAAACAGAAGCCTAAGCACTTCCATCTTATAGAGAAGCCACCTGGGCCCTGGGAAGAGGTGTAATTCTCAAAACTTATTGTACTGCAGTTCTCAGAGGTGTTAAGGGTAAAAATTTCCACTGCTACCCCCTGCCCCTTGCAGCAAACCGCTAACTTTAGCTTCTGTACAGACAGCTTGCCTTGCACACCCCTGGGCCCCCCTGAATAAGGATGTGGTTTTGCAGCTTAAAGGCCCTGCTCCCCCTGAGCTCGGGGCCACAGGTTGGAGAGATATGAGTCCTCCGTGGCCACCGGCAATAAAGACCCTGCAATTTGGCATAGTTTTGTCTTGCTGTTGATTTTCTGCTCGCTCCGGTGCTACACCTGGAGTGTAGTAGTTGCTCAAAGAATAATAGTTATTTCTTATGTGATGCTAGCCACAAGGTCAGTGCCATCCAACCCAAAGACGTTATCTATGGAAGGAAAAGACAGTGACATCGCCATCTTGTCATCTTCTAACTCAAAAGCTTGTGTGCAAAGGGACCTCTAAGCAGGAACAAGGCCTTAATGTTTGTGTTACCTTCCATCCCAGCCATGTGTAAACTCCCCAATCTAATACAGACTTCATTTTCATGTTAAAAGAAAACTTTGGACATAATCAGAAGTTAGGAGAGCCTTTTTGAGTGTGCCTGTTTATCCTGCCCCAAGATCCTTTCCTGGTCAACAGCCACCTCCCCCAAGTTTTTCATTACATCTTCAAATCAGCTTTGGCCAAAGCTAGAGTTCTTCACAGCCTTGTTTGGTCATTTCCCTCAGGTAGCTGCTTCTGCCAAATGACATCCTCTCATCCTTGGAGTCTGTGCATGCACTGAGAACAGACCACATCTCTGTTCTGCACTGGAAGCTCCTAGGCAACATAGTAAGGAATGTGCACTATGTTAGTAATGTTACCAAAATAGAAGCTATTTCCTGTTGCTGCTAACCTTTGGCATCAAGAGAACCAATCTTGATTTGAACAGATGAATATGCCTGGCATCCCCACTGGTTAATCTATTTAGAAAACATAATTACATAGGGACCTAATAACCGAGTGTTCACTTACACATTCCTGGGAAGAATGGCAGGACACATCCCTCAAAGATTCTATGTTCAGGCTGAGAATTCCACTGTGAGTACAAGATGAAGGGGACAGGTCACTGAATGGTAGGGACAGCAGAATAGATAGTGGGAGTCAATGCCCCGGCACCTCCCAGAATTATGTCAGAAACAGTCAAGGAAGTAACCACACAGTGTTCAGAATTGTGCAGTACACATCAAGTAAATATATACATGTATGTCAAGGATCAATAATGGAATTCATTCAGCATGTGATTTATGAGTCTAATAAACTACCTCTATGATGAAAATATCCCCATCCCAAACCCTGCAATATAAAGAAAAAAAAATTAAAATTTCCATCTACTGAAATAAGATTTCATACAAACATAAATATATTTAAATTTTCTTTTAACTGTAAGTAAATTTAAACAAACTGTTATAAAACAGAATACTATACACAGTTATCTGCATAGATCATAAAAAACATAAAAACCAGAATGCTGAGTGGGTGCTGGTGGTGAAAACTGCAGGGCTAAAACTTGCTCAACAATGAACCAGAACACGGCCCACCCCTCCTACTAATGGTTTTGTCAACCTTTGGACCCTAGAAATTCAGAATTTTCTCCTCCTTCCTCTGCCAGCTTTGGTCCGTGTCCGACCACCTGGCTGGATAGTAACTTGCTTTTTAAAGTCCACTAAGCAATCTGTGGCTTCTGAAATGGAAACAAAAGACTTGATGGGAGATTCATTTAAGTCATGATGTGTGAAGGAACTCTGCATCTCTCTGCTACAGGCTGCCTCTTCCATCCCTGGTGAGGGCACCCTAGAGAGAAGGAAAAAATTCAGATTCAATATAAACCTATTCAGCATCAAGGATATGCTATACACTGTATCAGGAGATTTTACATATCAGGGGATTATTAGTAAAAATATTCTTTGTAATAATCCCACCACATATCATCACTGCTTTCACAGATGAAGTCACTGGGTAAATCATATACTTAAAGTTGGTCATCGAGAGAATCAGAAGTTAGATCCAAATTCCCAAGCTGCTTGAGAATCCAGGTCAGAAAACTAGGGTTGGATGGGGATAGAGAGGTAGAGAAGAATAAGACGTAACTTTTGCTCTGCTTGTTTTAACATAATGAATGAATCGAGCTATCCAATCCTTAGCTCAGATAAATGTGGAGCACAGAATCATACCGACAAAGAGGTCCTAATAGTTCCACAGTGATTTCTACTGCAACAGTTTGAGTATCACACTACACACAGAACACAGGACCAGGCCTGCACTTTTCAGAACTGCTGACAGCCACAATTCAGTGCACAACCCAATTCACCTGAAGGCTCCTGTTTCTGAAGACTTGATCTCTCCATCTGTGATATGAAAGAAAAAATAGTAATGTTGGTAGTAGTGTTAGGAATCATATCACTTCTTACTGATCTTTTGCTTCCTGTATTCTAGGCACTGCTGCTCATCAGGCCTACCGAGGCAGCTCAGATCCCCAATCCCCTAAACCCACAAATGTGAGCATTAGTGTCCAACAGACTGAGCTGTAGGAGCACTCAGATGAACACTTCTGAATGAACAACCTCTGAATAAATCTACTTCAATTCTTGACTTGAGGAACAAGGAGTTGCCAAGGGAAATCTGCCACCTGCAGAGATTCACAAACTGGTGATCTAGAGACAACAGGATATGAGGTTGGCAGAGGCTGCCTTTTTATAGTCATCAGAAGGCACAACAGATTTGCTTGGTGGGAATGAACTATTAGAAGTAGATGGTAAGCAAATCTCACAAGGCTTAAGCAAAAGCTCCTCGTCCATCTGCATCTGGTGAATTTTAACAATAGCAACTAATAACAACAGTAATAATAGCATTAACATTTATCAAGAGCCTACTTATGCCAGGGAATATGTTTGGAGCTTTACCAGATATAATTCTTGCTATCTATGAGGTTTGGTATCACTAACTCCCTGCAATGGTCTTAACCAATACACTCTACCACTCCTTAAATACTAGGCACAAACCCTCAAGATCGCAGGTTGGGACACTAAGCTAAAGGTAATATATGAATGATACACAAAACAAGAGGAGGAAGCAATAATGTCTCCATATCTAGTTTTCTGTGCCTGTTCCTTTAGAAGGTATACTTG